AAGAAGGCTCATAGCAAAATTTCACATAACTGATAAAATAGACTAGTCCTGGCAAGAACTAAATAATGAGGAGAGAAAAGTCTTCACATTAGAAATCCTAAGCAATGCATAATTATTGTAACTGAGTAAAATCTATTTAACCCAATTGCTGGAATACAATTGCCAAAGAGAAAACATGTTAAATGATCTTCCTATCTTAATTGTCACTTGCTATAAATCCTTTTCCTAAATTTCCAAAGCAATTACAAATCCATAAGGGACAGAGGATTATAAAATATGATGACCTGTAGATTGGATAGCACAATTCAAACTGCAGAGGGCACACCAAGTCCATGGAGGATTCGGGCAGGCATAGGAAGCCACTGAGCCTACGGGGAGGTTGTGGCAATGGCAAAGGTAGGATCCAGACAACCAGTCCATTTATAGAGCAAGGCCTTAGTATCTGAGGGTTAGAAAGCAAAAATACTACCACTGCTACCATTCGCCCCGCTGACTAGGCAGGTGGAGGAAGAGTTGAGCAGGATTTCAAGGTCTTGGCCAAGAAGAGAATGGTGTGATATTATTGTCACTGTTATGTGTTATTTTATCTGATAATTATAATAGTCACAATTACTGGGTTTTTACTAAGTTCCAGGCACTAAATGCTTCACATCCAGGTCCTCCTCTAATATTTTAGGGTTGTGGAGCAGAGAATCAGATACCATGTGTCTAAATATACAATCATTAAAATCAGGCCAACAAGTAGTTAAAGTGTATATCTCCTATCTTCACAAGTGCACCTTCATAAAGACCTGGAAGATCAAGTTCAAATTTAAATTTCCCAGAAACTTCTCAGTGTTATATTGGAACATAACAGCTCAGGAAGATTGGCTGGAACGTATCCCCTCTTATTCATAGTTTCTCCACTTCAAAGTGAAAATCTCAAAGTGCCTCCTGCACATGAATGTGGCTCCCTTCAGTCCACACACCACACCAACAGCTGCCCTTTGGCCATCTTTCTAGCCCAGTGGTATGCACACCTTACAGATTATCTGCCCCAAGGAGAACTGACCTTAGTGCCAAAGTCAGTTCTGGCCCATGAAGACTGTGGAAGGAGGATGGTAACAGTTACCTGTCAGGGAATTTTAGTTCAGGTCTGAAAAATACATTCTAGAAATTGGAGAGCACTCCAGATGGACATAACTCCCTGGCTATGTGAACTCAAAAGAGGACAAGACCAGCAAGGTACTTTGGAGGACCCTGTGCAAAGTGAAAATGCATGACCTTTTGTTCAAAGAGCAGGAAAAAAGTGTCAAAAAGCTACCATAATATAAAACTTTTTACTTTCTTCCACAGTGCATCTCAGTTTGTCACGGTATTTTTATTTGTCATTTAATGTCTTTCAAAGTAAAGAAAAATTATAATTTTAAAGAATTCATATGAATTTCACCATTCATCTTTATGTTATGTGTTATGGTTTGGATGAGAGGTGTCCCCCAAAAGCTCAATGCAAGAAAGTTCACAGGAGAAATGATCAGATTAAGAGAGTCTTAACCCACCCAGTGAATTGATCCTTTTATGGGAATAACTTAGAAGTAACTCAGTGGCTGGAGGAGGTGGGACATTGGGGATGTGCCTTTGGGGTATATATTTTGTACTGGCAAGTAGAAACACTCTCTCTCTCTCTCTCTCTCTCTCTCTCTCTCTCTCTCTCTCTCTGCTCTCTGATCATCATATGAGCTGCTTCCCTCTGCCACACTCTTCTGCCATACTGTTCTGCCATGATGTTCTGCCTCATCTAGAGCCCTGAGGAATGGAGCCAGTTATCTATGGACTAAGACCTCTGAAACCATGAGCCCTCAAATAAACTTTTCCTCCTCTATAATTGTTCTGGTCAGGTCTTTTTTTTTAAGTTTTAGGAAAAATTTTTTTATTGGTTGTTCAAAACATTACAAAGCTCATGACATATCATCTTTCATACATTTGATTCAAGTGGGTTATGAACTCCCATTTTTACCCCAAATACAAATTGCAGAATCACATCGGTTACACATTCACATTTTTACATAATGCCATATTAGTGACTGTTGTATTCTGCTACCTTTCCTATCACCTACTATCCCCCCTCCCCTCCCCTCCCATCTTCCCTCTCTACCTCCTCTGCTGTTGTTCAATTCTCTCCCTTGTTTCTCCCCCCTTTCCCCTCACAACCTCTTATATGTAATTTTGTGTAACATTGAGGGTCTCCTTCCATTTCCATACAATTTCCCTTCTCTCTCCCTTTCCCTCCCACCACTCGTCTCTGTTTAATGTTAATCTTTTCCTCATGCTCTTCCTCCCTGCTCTGTTCTTAGTTGCTCTCCTTATATCAAAGAAAACATTTGGCATTTGTTTTTTAAGGATTGGCTAGCTTCACTTAGCATAATCTGCTCTAATGCCATCCATTTCCCTGCAAATTCCATGATTTGTCATTTTTTAGTGCTGCGTTATACTCCATTGTGTATAAATGCCACATTTTTTTTTTATCCATTCATCTATTGAAGGGCATCTAGGTTGGTTCCACAGTCTAGCTATTGTGAATTGTGCTGCTATGATCATTGATGTGGCAGTATCCCTATAGTACGCTCTTTTAAGGTCCTCAGGGAATAGTCCGAGAAGGGCGATAGCTGGGTCAAATGGTGGTTCCATTCCCAG